AGATCTACAATAATTTTATATGTAAAACTAAGAATCTCATTTTGGAGTTTTTTTACTGTGGCTTTTACCGAGAATATCTAATATTTAATATAATTACAAAATCACCCATTAAAACCCAATTTTGTATAATTTAATTATATCATAATTTATAATATTTTAATAATGATGTCAAATCTAAAAACCTAAATTATTTAAAAAAATTGTAAATATTATCTATTTTAATAGTTGTATATCTTACACTATTTTTAAAATTTTGATTAATAATTAATAAAATCCATCATATTCCATTCATAATACTTTTACAAAATAAATAACCAAACACCAAAATAACTTTCAGTCACAATTACAATACAACACAGTTCAGCACAATCATAGCAATAGCTATAACCATAATACTTTACAGGAATTCTAAACACACCCCAAAACATCATTATCCTTACTTTAAAAATAATTAGGATATTTTAATTTTGTTCAATACAACTTTATTAAAACAATGTAGTTTTTTTGATATTTTTTGGATATTTTTCTATCTAATTTTCTACGCCGACAGTTGATACTCACCTTATATATATATATATATATATATATATGAATTACATGAGAATCTTAGAACTTATTTGACCCATTTATATAGAGCACATCTCTATGTGCTAGTATTATCATCAGATAGCCTTCTTATGCCGCTGCATCCACAATGTCCCACGACCGGAATGTAGTAGTATTCAAGAGAGTAACAACATTTCTTCCCACATTTTTCCCTCCTTTTTCCCCAACAGCAAGGATAGTCTTGGAAGTTTATGTGTGTGCAGGGCAAATACAGCACAGGCAACTGCCCGACCCAAAATATTTAGTGCCCACTCCATAGAATCATAGATGATGCCCACCTCTGATCAGGGCTGGGCCTAAATATCTTGCTGGGTTCATTCCAGTCCCCGGAGACTGTGACTGACAGCCGTCGATATAAAAACGTCAAGTCCCACTACAATGCCTATTAGAAGTTTAGAACAAACCATAACTGGGCCCACGGCGCTGGACCCGTCCTTTGTCAAAAGCCATCCATGTGGAGGAGAAGAACAACCACAAAGGAATATATATTATTATTTGTAGTTAAAAATTTAAATTTTTATATTAGAGATTTTAAATTTAAATTTTAAAATGATAAGAAAGAGTTTAGAAAGAGAATGGCTAATCTTTGTTATATAATCTATCATCTGATGTACTAAAAAAATTATATATATATATATTTTGAGTAAACTTGACAAATAGATCATATTGGATGGATTTAGATTCGGTCACTTCAAATGTATGTTTATTGAGTTGGTTCATTTCATATTTTAAGTTAAAAAGGGTAAATTCATGACTTATCTACGTCAGTTTTGGATTAGGTTGAGTTGATCTAACTTTTTAAAAAATTAAAATTTTACAATATTTTCTTATTTGTTGAAAAAATTAATATTGATTATTTATTTAATCAAAAAATTATTAAATTAATTTTAACTCTAATAAATTATTATTATTTTATATATTTTATTTTATTTATAAAAATTAAAATTAAAATAATTAATCAAAATCTTAAATTTAAAAAATTAATTAATTTTAATTCAATTATTTCAAGTTGACCTTACCCAACCTTGGTCTAAGTGTCTAACCTTATTGGATAATTTTAATTTAGATTATATTAGATTCTAGTCAATGCCCTAAACTCATTACTTAACTCATATTGAGTAAATTAAATTAAATTTTTAGATTGAATCTAATTTTACCAACTCTAATCTTGAGCCGCAAGGCCTGGCTAGGCCGATTACAAAAGGCCCATGATGGCCCCGTAGAACAATGGTAAGGGTGCAGCCTTAACCGGCCATAAGTTTGCTTCTCTCAGGTTAGATACTCCCTCAGTCCCTCTATTAGAGGTGGCAAAAATTTACTACATCTGTCAACTAGATATTAACCCAACCCATTTTAGGGTTTACATATGTCAATCCACAATTTATAATATCAATTTATATGAGTCACGGATCAGATTAGGATTAACTTGCGGGTTGATAAGTTGATCAGTTTATTTATTTATTTTTTTTAAATACTATACTTATTATTCTTAATTAATTTTTTTATTGATAACTTTCACCTTTTATTCATACTCTTTAACCTCATTTAAATTACTCAAATGGTTTTGAATTTATTTTGAGTGTTTACTCCTTGTTATTTCTTTTTTTTTCTCTAGAAATTATGTGGGATTAATTAAATTACCAAATATTATGAATTAAATGATAATACAATTAAAAATATTAAAGATGTGATGCTAGGATATAAATATAATAATTTAGTGAAATATATTCTTGGAAGAGCAATTTCATCATTGAAAAAAGTGCTCAAACTCTTTGATAATATTTTAAGATGATTGTAAAATTAAAACTTTATTTTCCAAAAAATTTAAATATTTTAAGTTTAATATTGTTAATCAACTTA